TTTACGACACTCAAGATTTGATGTTTGTGCACCGAACAATCACATTAGCCCTTTTGGCCACAGCATTGCACTGGGAGCTCATGGTCAGCGGTTTATCCACCATGACCCCAAAATCTTTTTCAGAATCACTGCTTCCACGGATTACTCCGGGCCGATTTCTGCACCAAAAAATTAAAAATATTCTGCAAAAATCTGCTATTTTATTTCTCAAAATAACACAATATAGTCACACCAGTTTCAATTATTCTGGTAATTTATTTAAAAATATCTGTCAGCAAGTATGTCTGTAACAATACAGACAACAAAAAAGATTCAGGAAATGTTTTTTGACAGATTCCTTACTAGGCATATTAATATAGAACTCTGAGTAATAATTCATTTAAACTATGATACAGAAAAAGTACTTTCCGCACCCCCTCAGAAGAAGTACAAAGGCTTGGGGGAGTCAGGAGTAAAGGAGGAGCTAAGGGAGAGGGAAGTAATTACTAGGAAGGAGCCTGGGTATGAACTTGGAGGGTTTTGGGTGTGGGTGGGAAAAGTATGGAACAGGTTTTTTGGGTGGGTGGGGAGGGATTGTTAGGGAGCCTCCCCCATCCAGACCCTGACTGACCCCTAGCCTCTCCCATTCAGTCAGGCATATCTACCCCAGTCCCCATGTGTCCCTGTACCCCCATGTGTCCTTGCACCCCCTCACCCCATGTGTCCCTCCTTCCCCACTCATACAACCACTCCCCTCATCCCCATGTGGCCCTACACCCCCACTCAGCCACCCCCATGTGGCCCTGCACCCCCTCCTCCTGTCCCCATGAGTCCCTGCACCCTTTCAGGAAGCCCCCTCCCCCATCCACCTCTGCACCTCCTCCCCCTGCCCCCATATGTCTCTGTGCCCCGACTCAGCAACCCCCTTCCATCATATGTCCCAGCACCCCCTCTCCCACCCCAATGTCGCCCTGCGCCTCCACTCCCATTCAGCCCCTGCCCATCTGTCCTCCCCACTAGCCCTTATGAACCCCAGCCTGTGACCCCCTAGCAGCCCCATATGCCCCACGCTGTCCGTCTCCCCATATCTTCTGTCTCCTGACCTGGCCCCACCGGCGCTGTGAAGAAGGTAACCGCAGCTGGGGCTCGCCCTGGAGCCACCGCTCTGCTCTAGCGCCACAGCAGCCCCTGGTGGCCAAAAAGCATAACTGTAGCAACTTTCCCACAGAAGTTATTTTCTGCAGGGAAAATAATTATGCGTGGCACATTAATTATGCATACACAGTGGTGCGGAATTCCCCCAGGAATAAAGGATAGAATCCCCATCCTCTATGTATGGCCTATAGTCTTTGTTCCTAGATGTATACATTTACATGTAGTTGTATTAAAAGGTATATTGTTTGCTTGCACCCAGTTTAGCAAGTAACCCAGATTGCTCTGTATCAGTGACCTGGCCCCTTCACTATTTACCACTCCCCCAATTTGTGTATCATCTGCAAACGTTATCAATGATGATTTTATGTTTTCTTCTAGGTCACTGATAAAAAAGTTAAATAGCATAAGGCCAAGTACTGATCCCGGCAGGACCCTCCTAGAAACTGACCCTCTCAATGATTCCCCACTTATAATTAAATTTTGAGATTTATCAGTTAGCCAGCTTTTAATCCCTTTAATGTGTGTCATGTTAATTTTATATCATTCTAGTTTATTTTTAACCAAAATGTCATTTGATATCAAGTCAAACATCTTACAGAAGCCTAAGTACATTACATCAACGCTATTACATTTATTAACCAAATTTTTAATCTCATCAAAAAATATATCAAGTTAGCATGACAGGATCTATTTTCCATACATCAGTGTCTATTGGCATTAATTATATCACTTCATTTAATTTTTTATTAGTTGAATCCCATATCAGCCACTCTATTATCTTCCCCAGCATCGGTGTCCGACTAATAGGCCTATAATTACCTGTCACCCCACTCACCCTTTTAAAATATCAGCGCAGTATTAGTTTTCTTTCGGTCTTGTCGAACTTCCTTAGTGTTTCAAAACATATTGAAAAATCAACATTAATGGTCCAGCAAGATCTTTTAAAACTCTTGGATGCAAGTTATCTGGACCTGCTGATTTTAAAATGTCGGAGTTTAGAAGTTGCTGTTTAACACCCGCCTGAGATACTAGAGGAATGGAAAAAGTGTTATCAACATCATATAATAGGACTTCATTATTTGTTTTACTCCCCAAATACAGAACAGAAATATTTATTGAAAACTTCTACCATTTCTGCTTTAATTACTTATATTTCTACCATTTCCAACTAGCAATGGACCAATACCACTGTTAGAATTTGTTTTGTTCCTAACAGACTTAGAAAAACCTCCTCCTTATTGTCCTTAAGTCTGATGCCACAGATTTCTTCCCGAATCCCTTTGCTTCCTTTACCAATATTCTACAATTCCTAGGTTCAGATTTATATTCATTATTATCAACTTCCCCTTCCTTCCACTTGCTACATACTGTGGCATTCACTTACCCTCTAAACCAGGTCAGTTTTTTAACCAATACAACTTTCTTCCTCAATTGTGGCTTTTGGGGCATCTAGTTGAACAATTCCCAATTATCATTCACATTTTTCTGATTAAATTCTTCCTCCCAGCTGATTTGGCTCATAACTATTGTAAGCTTTGTAAGACTGGCCCTTTTAAAGCACCAAGTATATATGTTACTGGTCTGGACTATACTCTGTTAGTCTGATGAAATATAGACATACGCAATATTTAAACTTCAAATCTTGAATAAAATTCCTCACATGAAATTTGTTTTATTGAGAGGCCAAACGAACAAATACTTAGGCCTTGTCTACATACAAACTTTCAGCAGTTTAGTTAAGCTGATTTAGTAAAAATGGTGCAAACCCCTGTTTGGACATTCTTATTTTGGTTTAAGAGCTACTTATTTCAGTTTAGCTTCAACCTGTTAATAACGGAATTAAGCTAAAACAAAATAAGCTCTTTTTGCACCAGGTTAATAAAAATCAGTATAGAAATCACACCTTAAGTTTAACTCTGCATATAAACTAGCCCTCACAAAGGCAAGATTCAAACTGTTGGAATCAATGTACATGTTAATTTAAAAGTAGGTTACTGCCTTTGACTAATGCTACCCATAAAATAATTCATTAAAGCAAACAGGCAAAAAACTCACGAAAGGCCTTGCCTTGTACCATGATCTCAGAGTAAACACATTAAGAGTTAAATCTTGCTCAGCGCAGAAGAAATTATATTTAATTTAGGGGATTAACATTTTCGTATGGATATAATCAAGTGAAACATTATTTTTGTTCCAACAGACTAGCAGGCCTTCCCCACTGCTCACAGCAGAGAACATTTTTCCTCTGTGAAAGAGGGAAATTAACTTTCAATTCCTTGTTTCCTAAATAACAGACTCACTTCATAACATTAAAGAAACCTCCGTCACAGCAGTAGCAGCAATGTGGTTCCAATCCCCTTAGCCTTCTGTAGGAAGGATACCAGAATCATTCATATTTGAACTAACAGCCTAATGGGATTAGATACACGCTAGGTAATTAACTGATCTTCTGATCAATGCTGTTTACAAACTTTACCAACCTTTATTCCAGAAATATGACAATTTCAGCATCAGATTATGTCTCTCCAGAAAGGAGAGAGATTCGAAAATTGACAGACACACATAAAATACCTTTAAAGTACTGGTTAAAAGTCAGGAGTTATTATTATGACTGTAATGATGCATTAGCTGCTGTGTGGCATATCAGATGATGATATTAGAGGGGCAGAAGAGGAGAAATCATCATTCTCCATTGTAAAGCTCCAATAACGCAGAGCAGCCACCTCCACTGCCACTAGAGAATTATCAAAAACAAGTCTCCTCACTGTACAGAAACCTGGATTATGGGCTAAAAATGCTACTTCCTTCCGAAGCAACTAATCACTATGGTGATTTCTTAACATAAATGATGTCTGCTAAGCAACAACTTTGAAAGAAAGAGAAAGAGGGGTAAATGCAGGATGTTTCCCCACAACCCCATCTCACCCATCAAAAGCTTTCATCACTGCAGAGGGCTCAGTGATCCCACTCCACACCCGGCTTTGACACGTACCGTCATCATGTACAAAGCACTGGAACTTTTGCATCCGTACAAGGCATGACGACATATAGGCGACGGGGGGGGGCGGGAAATTATACAGATACAGCCAGGGAACAACGAGCTAAAGGCAACGTTTTGTTCTCGTCCCCTTCCCTCCTAGTAGCAACACAGCAGAGAGAAGGAAGCTTTTTCCCCCATGGCAGGCCTGGGAGGGAAGTAGAGGGATTTTCCTGCGTACCGTCTGTGTAAGGACACCATGGGCAATCCTTATGTTATCGATCAATACCTGTAGGGTGGCAGGAATAAAGCCGCCTGTGAATTACCAGGGTGCACGCAGGAACCGGGCACAATTAAGAGAGGCACCTCTAGGGTGGCACCAATACCGCCGCGTGTGACTCACCAGGGTGCACACTTACTGGAGAGGCAGCTCCAGGAGGGCACCAAGGCAGCCGATTGTGAAGGAGGCGTGTGGGTGTGCACGTAAATATTCGCAAAAAGAACAGGAGGACTTGTGGCACCTTAGAGACTAACCCATTTATCTGAGCATGAGCTTTCCTGAGCTACAGCTCACTTCGTGGGATGCATCACGAAAGCTGATGCTCAAATAAATGGGTTAGTCTCTGAGGTGCCACAAGTCCTCCTGTTCTTTTTGCCAATACAGACTGACACGGCTGCTACTCGGAAACACGTAAATATTGTACATCTCTCTCTCACACACACACACACACACACGCGAGTCATATGCCTCGCTAATGTCTGCGCACGAGCCTAGTGCTCACACCTGTCACCACACGTCCCCGCCGCGCACGTCCAAGCGCCCCCCCCCCCGGGGACACAGACAGACAGACAGACAGACAGAGCGACCCCCGCCCCGCCCCGCGCTCACCCGAAGAGCCCCCTGAGGAAGGAGTGCGAGGACTTGACCCGCTTCTCGGCCTCGGCCATGAGCTGCACGGCCTCGCGCTCCTTGCCGCTGCTGTCCATGGCGCCGGCTCTGAGGGGATGCGCGGGCCCGGCCCGGCCCTGCCGCCGCTCGCCCGCCCCGCGCCGCCCCGCGCCTCACGCCGGGGGAGGGGAGAGCCGAGCCGAGCCGAGCCGAGCGGTGTCGGGAGATGTAGGCGGGGGGGAGCGCAGGCTGCGGCGGGGGCTGGGCTGCGTGTGTGAGAGAGAGAGAGAGAGAGAGAGAGAGAGAGATGCCGTCACTGAGCATGTGACTGTGGGTGCGACGGTGTCGGTGTGTGAGGACAGTGTGAGTGTGCGTGCGCGTGTAACAACCAGCGTGTGTGTATGACTGCGTGCATACGTGACGGTCTGTGTGTGGCGGTGGTGTTAGGGGGAGGGGTGTATAATGGTGACAGTGTGTGATACTGTCAGTGTGTGTGTGTGTGTGTGTGTGTGATTATATCCCTGTGTGATACTGTCAGTGTGTGTGTGTGTGATTATATCCCTGTGTGATACTGTCAGTGTGTGTGTGTGTGTGTTTGTCTCTGTGTGTGTGTGTGATTATATCCCTGTGTGATACTGTCAGTGTGTGTGTGATTGACAGTATCACACAGGGATATAATCACCCACACACTGACAGTATCACACAGGGATATAATCACACACACACACACAGTATCACACAGGGATGTAATCACACACACACACACTGACAGTATCACACAGGGATGTAATCACACACACACACACTGAGACAATCACACACCCACACACTGACAGTATCACACAGGGATATAATCACACACACACACACAGTATCACACAGGGATGTAATCACACACACACACACTGACAGTATCACACAGGGATGTAATCACACACACACACACTGAGACAATCACACACCCACACACTGACAGTATCACACAGGGATGTAATCACACCCACACCCACACACTGACAGTATCACACAGGGACGTAATCACACACATTGACACAATCACACACTGAGACCATCACACACACACACACTGACAGTATCACACAGGGATATAGTGTGTGTGTGATTGTGTCAATGTGTCTGATTATGTCCCTGTATGATACTGTCAGAGTGCGTGTGTGTGTGTAATTGTGTCTGCATGTGATGGTGTCAGAGTGAGTGTGTGTGGTGATGTCAGTGTGTGTGTGCACGCACAATGGTGTCAGTGTGTGATTTTTGTCAGTGTGACACTGTCACTGTGTGTCTGATATTTAATATTATAATTTAATATAATGTTTTGACACTATCAGAATGAAATGTTTTTATCTTATCGAAGTGAAACAATCTGACAGTACTGAAACAAAGCTTTTCAGTGTTTTCGAATCGACATTTTTTGGAATTTACATTTTGTGGAAAATTTTGACATTTTGAACAAAAACAAACTTCAAAATGTCAGAATTTCCCACAGAACTGAAATTCCATTTTCCAACCAGATCTAGTTTTAGGCTTTCACCCTAGAATGTCCTAGTGTCCTGCAATACCTGCAATCAACACTTAGTAAAGTTATACAGTGAAGGTATTAAGAGACATATCTATGAAAGAACATGGTTTTACAAGAAAAATAAATTGGGATTAGCTGGATGTACTGTATTTTTCCATAACCATTTTCAAATGTCTTCACATGTGAAACAAGCAATTTCGCATTTGGAAGAGGACTTTCACTTGCCTACTTTCTATAATTTATGATAATGCTAAATGCAACTGAATACACATCTCTAATGAATGAAATCATTCTGAATGACATAGTTCATGGCAATACATAGCATGGGACCTAACCCTTAATTGTTGCATTAAGGGTATATCTGAACTGAAATTAGATACCGGTGTTTGGCCTGTTCCAGCTGACTTGGGCTCAAGGGAGTCAGGGGCTGTTTAATTGCAGTGTAAAGTTCCTGACTGCAGCCTTAGCTCTGGGACTCACCCACCTCTCAGGGTCCTAGAGCCAAGGGTCCAGCCTGAACTCAAACATCCACATCGCAATTAAACAGCCCCTTAGCCCAAGCCCTGCAAGACCAAGTCACCTGGCATGGGCCAGTTGCAGGTTTTTAATTGCAGTGTAGACCTACCCTGTGTGTACAACTAGGATGATGAGTAAAATATCATGCACAAGGGGGCAGTATTCACAAAACTTCCATGAAACTGGAGGTTTATTATTTTGCTCAACATGCAATGTACAGTACCGGTAGATTACAGTCAAAAGGCAAGCTTACGGAGGCAGCATCCCACAAGCAAAAAGCAGAGGTTTTGAAATCTGAAAAGGGAAGAGAACAAAAAGTGCAGAAAACTCTGTTGGAAAAGCTTGAAGTGACAACAGATGAGCAACTTCAGAGATGGACAGAGCTTTTTAAGCTTACTGAGGCTTTCTGTGCAGCAAATCTTCCTCTAAAATCCCTTGACAATGTAACCCTGAAGGATTATTTAGAATGTGACCTGAAAAATGTTGGAATCTTACCAAGTTCGAGACATTTACAGCAATGCTCCTTGCCAACAGTAGTTGAAAATCATGTAAATTAAATTAAAGAAAAGCTGAAGACTTGTGATGGATGTAATATTTGAACTCCACTGGGCTCATTCGGCTATGTCCTATAGCTAGCTGAACAATTCGTTAAAATAAAATGCTTTCTAATGCAGCCACATACAAGTTCAGGCATTTAAGTAAGGAGAATAGATGTCATACCAATAGAATGAGGGCCTATATCCTGGAAAGAAGTGACTCTGAAAAGGATTTAGGAGTCAGAGTGGACCACCAATGAAACAGGAGCTCCCTCTCATGTATTTCTTGTACACAGGAGGTTGCAGGGCTCCTACTAGCGGATCAGGCTTTTGTATAGAATTGAACTGGCTAGAAAGCCTCCTTCTCTGAAAAATACACACCAGATGTGTTCAAAATAAGATCCTTTAATGTTCTGCCAGGTGTGGTTAAGGTTTGCTTAAATAAGGTGTGTTAAACACAGTGCCACCTAATGGCTGAACTGTATAATACAGTTTAGCATTCCATTACATTTCCCCTTTTAAGTTCTACATTCCTACCATATGCAAAATTTACACTGTCATGATATCTTTGAAGTTCAGCAGGCATCAGTCTGTTAAGTGTCTCTGAATCATACTGGCTTTCTAATTACATGACCTGAATGCATAACAACTTGGGCATCTGGCTGTCCATTAGTTGCAATGACCGGCTGTGGCTGATTTGGAATCTTTGAGTCTCCTTTTTGTTCTGCATCTGTCATCTGTAGAGTTTGCTCTGTAAATTATTCTTTTGAGGAACAAACTGTAGATGTTGATGGTTTCTGTTGAACTCTCCACTGTCTGTCTCGATCACACGTGATGTGGGCAATGAATTCTTTTTTTTCTTTACGACAGCTGGACCTGTTCATCCTTTTTCTCCACCCAGCTTGACACAAAGAAGGTAATCAGGTTCTAGACTTGACAGTTCTCTGAGTGTTATCTGTTGTAAATGTGTTTGTAAGCTTTTTTGCCTTTTGATTTGATATGGCTACACTCTTCATGTCTGGCCACTTTGGATTTTTTTCTAAAGTCAGAACAGCAGTCCTGAGTTGTCTTCCCATGAGGAGTTGTGCTGGACTATATCCAGTAGGTGCTGTTGGTGTTGATCTAACTCAGATGAGCAAGGAATGGATCTTCCTGCTGCAGGATTTTCTTGGCTATCTGTTCAACTCTCTCAGTTTCTCCATTCACTTGTGAGTAATATGGGCTGCTAGTAATATGATCAAATTCATAGTTCATTCAGAATTACTTAAATTCTGCTGCAGTAAACTGTGGTCTGTTGTCTGTCACTAGTTGTGCTAGAACAGGGGTTCTCAAACTTCATTGAATCCTGACCCTCTTCTGACAACAAAAATTACAACATGACCCCAGGAGTAGGGACCGAAGCCTGAGCCAACCTGATTCCCACTGCCTTGGGGTGGGGGAGCCAAAGCCAAAGCCCCACTGCCCTGGGCGGGGAAGGGGTCAAAGTCAAAGCCCAAATGCTTCAGCCCCAGCCAGGGGACCTGTAACCTAAGCCCTGCTGCCCAGGGCTGAATCCCTCAGGCTTCGGCTTCTTCCCTGGGTGGTGGGGCTCGGGCTTCAGCTGCGAGCCCCAGCAAGTCGAAGCCAGCCTTGGCAACCCCATTAAAATGGGGTCGCGACCCACTTTGGTGTCTCGACCCACAGTTTGAGAACCGCTGTTCTAGAACACTGAAACGAGCAAAAGCGCACTTCAGTTTCTCAGTAACACTGCAGCATGTTATGTCTTTCAAGTACATTTTTTCTATATAACTGGGAAAATAATCCACTGCAACCAGGTAATGATGTCCTCTGAACTCGCATATATCTGCAGCTAGTCTCTTCCAAGGTGTCTGGTAGAGGTGTTGTTATTAAAGGTTCCCTGTGTTGGTCTGTTAGTTCTGTAATGTTCATATGCAGATACTTTATTATTTATGTCTTTGCTGATACCCAGCTACCACACTACCTGGTTGACCAATTCATGGCATTTAGTTACTCCCTGATGTCCTTCATGGATGAGGTTTTGTATTTCTCCTTTCATTTCATTTGGAATTACGATACAATTGACTTTAATCATGAGGTCATTTGACTCATTTAATTGTCCATATACCACAAAATAGTCTCTTGTCACTTGTTTAGTGTCTTTTAGATACTTGGGCCAGCAGCCCTAATGTAGCTTAGAACTTCTTGAAGTTGCGTATCTGTTGAAGCTATTTTTATAGCTGGTGTAGTCTCTTTTCTGACACATTCTGTATGTGTCCATAGCATCCCACATATGCCTTTACGTCATATTTGAGCCCATGGGTAGTTGAATGTGCTGCAGAACTCCATGACAGTGTCTTTCTACTACCATATTTTTCCCAGAAACCTTGAATGTATAAACAGGGGAATAGTGAGTAGGAGTAGAGAGGTGATTTGACCTCTCTATATGGTATTGGCATCTGTTACCCACACAATTTAGGGCTCTCCCCCCTGTACCCTCTCTTTTGGGTAATCAGGATGTAAGGAACCCAACTTTAGCCCTCCATGGGCTC